AGCGTACAACGGCCGAAACGTTGTGATAAATATGGCAACAATGATGAGGACAATAGTTCGAATAATGTAAATAGATTACATACTAGTTATTTGCGAATTTTGACTTAGAAGATCAGGCAGAAGGCTTAAAATTGTTCAGGAACGCCGAAATCTAAATATTTTGAGCGCAATTACATGCCTTCATCTACAGATAAAACGCATGGTAATTTTTAATATAAATATGTATTTTCATACTTTTATAGTGTTTTGTTTTTATTTGGGGGGGGGTTCACTTTTTGCCCATAGATGGGACCCTAACAGGTGCTACCACCCTGAGTCAGGGTGGACCTGGAAACAACAGAAATTAGGAGGTGGTTCCATGCATCTCAAAACCTCCAGACTTCCAATTGGAAGCCTTGCTGCCGGATGTAGTTTATCGTCATACCCAGGACTACATTATTAAGAAGTGTAACCAGGAAGACAAAAAATAGTGATTGACATTGCATTTAAATTTTTGAAGATCAAAGTTGGTTGGAAAGCATGAAACTAGAAGAGATTTCAACAAGCGAGAAGTCAGATAAACTTCTTTTTCTTCTTTTTTTATTCTTCTTCTTCAGGACGTGGAAGATCATGGCCCTCCACGATTTCTTATCCTTTGTAGCTCTAAGTAAATTTTGTCTTTTTGCTATCTCTTCTAATCCCTGTTCTGTCAACTTATCAAATAAGCTCGTTCTTCTTATTCTATGTGCCGTGTCCATTCAGGGTGTAGGTGATCATGGCTCTCCACAATTTTCTATTTTTTTGTTTTTCTCTATTTCTCCTAAATCCTATTCTGCCAAGATGGTGAAAAAAAACAAAAAAAAACAACAAAAACAGAAAAGTAAAATGCTTAAATAACGTAAGAAAAGATTTTTATAAAAAAAAAAAGAGGAGGGGAAAAGAATGATAGGTTGAGAATTATGCTTTCCTTCATCGACTTTCAACACATCAAGGTGAATACAACAAATACTAGAGATAAATACTTGAATTTACAGCGTGATTTTTTTTGTGTTTTGCTTTTTTTTTACTTTTTTTGTGTTTTTTGCTTTTTTTTTTTTTTTTTTTTTTTTTTTTTTTTTTGTTTTTTTTTGCTTTTTTTTTTTGTTTTTTTTTTTGCTTTTTTTTTTTGTTTGTTTTTTTAGGGTACCAAGATCAGTCCTTGCTTTTTATTTTAAATATTCGCTGAAACGGGGTTAAAAAGTAAAAAAAAACTTAAATTCAGATTAGATTCATTTTTTATTTAATTTGTGTTTTTATTTTCCTGCGCAGATAGATTAACGCGTGTGATAGTGTTTGAAAGTTGAATGAGAGGTCGTCTGCAATTTTCCAGTTTATTTCGGATGCTTTCGGTTTATTTCGGGCATTTCCGGGTGAAAGCACTTTATGTCGCTAAATACTTTTCACTTTCAAATTTCTCTGCACCGAACGAGACACTAAAATTAATACGGCTCACCAATTGCTTACGAAGAGATGTTATCACTAAAAATAACATTTAATCATAAAAAAATCGCTTTTTTTTCCTTCTGAATATAATAGCCGAGTACTATGCTTCTCAAACTATCTAATATGGCGGACAGGCATTTTTTTTCTCACTGTGTCACGTATCTGTAATATTTTATGGTAATATTAATTTATACCGAAAACGATATATATAATAAATATAGTAAAAGTTGACTATTTTTTATCTTCCATTTATTTTGCAAAAAATTATTCAATATCAAAACATAAAAAATAATAAAAAAAATAATCAGTTTATAAGCACAAAAACAAAAATTATATAACCTTAATCTTTATGAAAAAAAGGTGAGCCTGCTTCTTTGATAGTTTATCCAGTTGTGGTTCAATTGCTGACAGTGTCATGCGCAACAGAGAATGAATATCCATATTATTCCTGTACTTTGTCTTAATAACGCTCATGGTTGAGAAACAAATTCCGCAGAGGTATGTTGAAAGAAACAGGAGAAGAGTTTTAAAAGCAATTTCACGAATCTAAGGATATTCCTCTTTCACCATTATCCAAAATGAACCAAGTTGTAGTTTCGAAATTTCTCTTCAATCCTTCGTCAGCGGCCAGCTCCAACAATTTATTTTCCATACTGACACTTACGTACCAAAACCTTCATTTGAAAGCAAAAAGTACCAAGTTTGATACGAAAATACAAATTCTGACGGCCCTTGCTCTAGCAGTGTATCGTTTGGCTGGCATCTACCAATTCTTCAGATGTTTCCTTAGCATGGCCTGGACACTGGCCGCGTACCGCTAGCTTATGGTTGGCGTATTGTCACCGATCCACCGACCAGCACTAGTACTAATAGATTAAAGGGTTGGTTAGTGAATTTGGGGACTTAGTAATTGTGATTTTTAACCCTGATTATTTGAGCCAAGTGGAAATGGGCTCAAATAATCAGACATGATCAGTGGAATAAGATGAATCTAATAAAAATGTATTCGGCTCGAAATTCCTTGAAGGCTTACTGGATC